AAAAGCCGTGAATGTATTAAGGCCACTGGAACCCGGATCGTAACTGCAACGCGCTGCATGTCTCAATACAGGAGCAGAAGCGCTGGTTCAGATTGTATTGTTTGTTGTTTAAACGTGCATGTTGCATATTTAAAAATATTTGTTTAAAAATAAATGTTTGTTGTAGGCTTATTTGCAAATTACCATAACTTGTAGAATTTCATCCTTACTGTTAATTGACATTAGCCCCACTTACGTTTTGATAAATGTCCCTTTGCGCCACCTGGCGGTCATTTCGCGAACGACTTTGAAATGCGACTGGTTTATTTTTATTGTATTGGTCTACTTTAAAAAATAATACTTTATAAGACATTTATGGAAAAAGACTATTTTCTTTTCAAGATTCTGTAGAATGGCCCATATAGCATTTGACTAGAATTTGTTTCCAGGTATGACTAAAAATGTGCTTTTGGCTTTCATTTATATTTTGATTGTTTGTATATATATATATATATATATATATATATATATATATGTGTGTGTGTGTGTGTGTGTGTGTATATATATATATATATATATATATATATATTTAGGCTATATATATACAAGAAAGAATGCAATGACAATATATATATATATATATATATATTGTCCTTGCATTATTTCTTGTGTGACACCCCTGAATGAAAGGCTCATTATTATGTAGGGTCACTGTCTGAGAACCACTTAATATTCATGATAGGGGTTGGGCCGTTCCGCCCATCTGCATATTGCCTTGGCAAACAAAAAAATGTTTTTCACAATTTAAAACAATCTATTGGTTTATGTGAATGATTAGGAAGGATGATTTTCAGATCATTTTGAAGCCAGAACTCGAAGCGTCAACATCCATTTGTCAAAAGTCTTGTGGACACATATTTAGTATTTGTTTTGTGGTCTTATTTCAGCAGCTTTCATTTTAATTTTTTTCAATAACCACGCATAAACAATATTCTCTTAAAAATACAAACAATGTACATACAAGTTGCTCACAGATTATGGTAGCCCTGTTTGTGCTATATAGAGTGAATTTACACCTTTGCCATTAACATGTTTATAAATAACTGAAAAAAGCACAAATGTAAGGGCATCACAGAACATCCAAATGGCCCCAAAAACACCTCAGACCCCAGAGGGTTAATAAACGGAGGTACGTTAGACAGTATGACCTTTTTAGACGGGGTAAAGGTAAAACAGTCACGAGTGAACCATTCAACACAAAGCCGCTTTGGACAACATCATTTGCCTTTTCAACTGTTTAAAAAAAAAAAACAATTGCACTGTTCATTCGCGATGCCGAGACAATATGATCATGCCCCACAATCTCTCCCACCGCTAAACAACACTGCTCCACGTTAATTCTAGACTCCACCTTCACTCCATGGCGGCGGGTTAAATCTTTAAAACTCATTGTGTTTTGGTTCGTCATGCCTCCCAGCACAACGCTGGTTGCAGACCCAAACACCTTTACAATTTAAATACACGAACAAGTTCAACACATAAAAACAAACATACACAAAAAAGATAGAAGATAGAAAAGTTTGTTAGCACACGGCCACAACACGCACTCACCCTCACCACACTCCGTTCACTCCCAGCATGCACTCGAGAGAGATTGAAATGTCTCAATACTATTAAGAAATTAAGATATCCTTTGTCTGAGATAATCTGTTAACCTCTTAACTCACCCCCCTTTTTGAGAATTGATGTGAAAATACACTACCCAAACTTAAACGCTTGTAATTCATGAACCCTTTGGACTAAAGACTTACGGTTGGTCTCATTTAAAAGACGACACTTGGCAGATTATTGTTGAAGTGGAATAAATTAATATAATTAAATTATTTAAAAGTAATTGAAGTTTAAGTTTATTGTTATGAAAATATAATAAAATATTTTTTCTTTTATTAACCCTTTCATGCATAGTGGTCACTACAGTGGACAGCTATTAAAAAAGCATTTTCTTAAATTTGCAAGGGTTTTGATGGCAAAGTTGCACATCAATCTCTTCAGTGGACCCTGGTGGATCATCCTATACATTGCAACCAAGTTGCAAGCCGTTGTGTTTCGAGTTTTTCCCCCTCCAAACCAAGATGGCCAATGGTCAGTCAGACATGCCAAGTTGCTCCGGAATATCCACCCATTCCTTCTATCCTAGGAGACTCTTGTAGGTAAAAAAAATATTGCAGCATCAAGCAATATCTAATGAGTCATATGCCAGTAACATTTTCCAAGTTTTGATTTTAGATTGGGAGAAAAATCTGATTAATCACCTGTCCACTATAGTGGACCTCATGCATCAATGGCTATATTTCAGCTACAATTCAAACTTATACTGTGAATATTGTTTTTGAAAATACTTAATCTGCAGTGACGTTTTTTACTGTAAATAAATGTATTTGTATTATTAGAATGTTAATTTCATTGACATCGAAAAAAGTTATGTGATTACATAATTTATGTGACTTATGTATTACTTTACTCATTTTATCAAAAAAGTAATCTAATTATGTAATGCATTACTTGTTAGATCAAAAAGTTATCTGTTTACGCAATGAATGTTGCTTGTAATGCATTTATTTACTCGTAACATCAAAAAGTAATCTGATTACGTAATGCATGTTACTTGTAATGCATTACTTTACTTGTTAGATCAAAAAGTAATCTGATTTCGTAATGTACTATATTGTAATGCTTTTCTTTACTCGTAACACCAAAAAGTAATTGATTACGTAATGCATGTTACTTGTAATGCATTACTTTACTCGTAACAACAAAAAGTAATCTGATTACGTAATGCACATTACTTGTAATTAATTACTTTACTTGTTAGATCGAAAAGTAGTCTGATTAGGTAATACATGTTACTTGTAATACATTACTTTACTCGTAACATTAAAACAAATCTGATTATGTAATGCACGTTACTTGTGACACATTACTTTACTTGTAACATCAAAAAAGTAATCTGAATGCGTTATGCATGCCCCAACACTGCTAATTTCAGATGAGATTGAAAAATACGTATCGCTAGGTTTTCTCAGAAGAGGCCTATGCTAGAAATGTGTCTATCTTGAACATAATCAGAATTATCAGCTAATAAAGGTAAATTGACATACTCTGGCACACTGGAGGGATCATCTGAGTGGTTTCCACTGTTGTACCTTGACAGGCTGTAGAAATTTCTGATGGAATCACGTCCTCATGTTCTGATATCAAAGATACACGAAGTGCAACTTGTATGAAGTTCAATTGCATTTGCAATATTTCGAATTTATATTTTTTGTATATATTTTATAGTTTTCACATGATTTTATATAATTGTATTGATTAGTTTGTTAAATACACATACTTTATCTGTTTGATTATTGTATTATGTTTAATATAGTATCTCTTCAGTTTAAACCATAAATGCATGCTGTCCACTCAAGTGGACACCTGAAAATCTCTTTGGAAAATAAAATAAAAATAAAAATAAAAAATCAAATCTTGTTTTTCATGCCCTAAGAGCAATAAAAACACATAGGAAAAAAAATCCTGACTGAGGTTATCATAATTCATGCATGAAAGGGTTAAAATATATATAAATTAATATAGGTTTCAGCCTAAAAATGACAGAAAGTCAAAGCCATATATCTAACCAAGTTGTGTTCCAAATTTGAAGTTGATATCACAAAAATTGAAGTTCCCATGAGATTTTGTTTAGGCGTAATACCAGAAATAGCCACCGGCTGACATTGAATTCCATTGAATTTAACTGTTCATTCTGCCAAGGGCGTAGATTTGGTTTGAACATTGGGGGGGGGGTTGAAGTTTGGGTATGCCTCCTGATATTGTGATCATGGTATAAATAATGGGGGGGTTGTAATGCATAGATTTAAATATTGGGGGGGGGGGGGGGGGGGGGGGGGGGTTATAACCCCCCGAATATCACTTCTGTAACAAAATATGGAACCTTGAGACTCAGACCTTTCTGACAATATGTGTTTTGTCAAGATTAGAAAAGGTTGTGATCATAAATTATGAAACATGATGATGCCCAAAAGGGGAGGAGCCTGATAAAAGAATTTAGAGTACCGTTTCTAGGGTAACACATCCAATTTCAAAACGGTTTTCACAGGATGAAAGCTTTCAAACGAGACCTAATTTATGATAACTACTAAAATATGTGATGTAATAAAAAAGGTGATAAAAAATATAATATAATATTTTAGTGGATAATATATATAATATACTTTTTAGAGGATAATATTATTTTATAATTTTTTATTGACAAATACTAGATTATATATATGTTTTATTGTGAACTTTTAGCATGAAAATCAAAGTTTGAATGATTAAAAGTGTAGTTGTTGACTTTTTGTTACAAAGGTGAAAACACCTGTAATGATACAGATTTTTTTTATGCGCATTCTTGTCATATATTAATCCATTACTCTTCCAACATATATTTTTCTGCAAAATCATCAACAAATATGTATTCTTGACTCTTAGACCTTTCCAACGATATATAGTTTGCCATGATTAGATTAGGATTTATTAGAACAATATTGAAGTAAACTTAAATATCCCGCTACCGGGATGGTGGCAGTTATTAAATAATATTTCTATTAATTGCATATTACACTTTTTAAATAAATACTCAATTTAATTTGACGTTCAAATATGCAGAATGGTAATACAATATACAATTTCATATATTTTTTATATATTTGTTTTAAAATAAATTTGTAATATATTAAATCGTATATTGTATTACCATCATTACAAAAAGGACCTCAAATAGTTAATTTAGTTAAATTTTTACCATAACAAAAACTGCATTGTACTCCTAAAAATGTAGTGCATTCTTTTGGATCGCTGTTATTCTGGAGTAGAGAGAATCCATTAAGTAAAAGACCATCCACAGGCTAGATCTTTCTCAGTGATGATAGCCATGATGAACCCAAACCACTTAAAACACAAAAACCTTTAACAATATATGGACATCAAATACCACAACCTCTAAGGCTGTTCTGTTTATTGTATACCATATATTAAATTGCATTGAATTGGATTACTTGTTTGGATAATGCCATTTTTATCCTGTGATGGAATATAGACTTTATTACCAGTTGAGTAAAATAAGTAATTGTAAGACGCAGACTTATGAATTATTTTACCCCTAGATTTCACTCATAGTGAAGATAACTCTGTATCTTTTGGTTAGCATCAGTGTTAGCATGTTGGGCGTGGTTTTGCATGTGTTAGGACCGGGCTAGTCCTGCCATGACGACACAAGCATTTCTCCTGCTGTGATGTCGACCGTTTTGCTTGAAGGCTGCCAGTTGGTGGCGCAGTCACCACAATAACCTCCTACGGCCCTGCATTCTCATGCACCTCCTCCAAATGTTCCTGTAACCAGCACACACACAAAAAAGATATTTTAATATTACACACAGTTTAGATTATTAGAGATTACAGTAAGCCCATATGGCTTTCTTTAATCTGTGGAATACAAAACGTGAAATTTTGAAGAATTTACTGGTCGTTCTTTTCCATGCAATTACAATGAATGGGGGACTGGAGCTTTCAAGCTTAACAAATTATGCAAAATCACCATAAAAGTATCCATATGTGACTTCTTAAGCCTTCAAGTCATATTATAGCGTATGGGTGTGAAACATAACACATTTAAAATGTATTTCTTTATATCGTGCAATTCTGACTTCTCTCAGAATTGCGAGATGTAAACTCGCAACTGCAAGAAAAAAAGTCAGAATGGCTTCCATAGTAAATAATGTTTTGTTTGGTGAACTATCCCTTTAAGGTTTAAGCTTTTACACAAAACAAGAACATGTACAGCCAGGTAACTTACAGTATCTCCAGAACCATACAGTTGATTGCCAAAGCCAGTGCAGCTTACATGAGATCCGTTTGAGCCCTCTATTGAGGCATTGGCATTATGTTTAGTCTTCAGGTAGAACACAAACAAGGCAGCGAGAATCAGTAAGAGCAGAATGACGAATACAACAGAGGCCACAATGGTTCCTGTGTTGTCAGATGATGAGGCTGTAAATATAAAGATGTCATGATTTTCCTGCATCACTATATATAAGAGTTGAACACCTATCGCTTTCCAATTGAATCTGAATGACACTAAGGAAAAAACAAATCTGAAGAATTCTTGCTAGATGAAGAACTCTTACTTTGGTCAGTCTTCTGCCCAGTACAGTTCACCCCAACCGTGTACCGTATGTCATCCAGGGCAAGGAAACCCTTCTCTCCTTTAATTCCCTCTAGTACAATCTGCCTCCCATTAAATCACACACACAATCAGTATAATCAAACTCAAATTCATGCAGAACCAATAAGAACATTGAATAAAGTAGGGTTTGGTCACCTGGTACTCGGTTTCTGAGGTGATATTGACACTAAAGTATTTCCAGTTTCCACCTCCCTCATACAGCATCAGTAATTCTTGTTTGGATACTTCAGACAGCCTCCATACTATGAGTTTGCTGTCATCTTCAGAAGAAAGCAATACAAATAATCATTATTAAATTATAAAAAAAATTTAATCCAATGCAACTTGCAGTGCATTTCACGGGATATGTAATAGCTGGATGCTAGTTTTAAGGAAAAGTTTGGATCAAATAAGGTGTATAATTGCCAGAAAGATTTTTTTGATAATATATTTTAGTAGCTATGCTGCCGTTTATGTTTTGGAAAGAAGTCTCTTAAGCTAACCAAGGCTGCATTATTTGATCCAAAATACAGTAAAAAGAGTAATATTGTGAAATATTACTCTTTTCTATTTTAACGTAGTTTAAAATGTATTAATTTATTGGAATAATTTATTCCAGTGATGATAAAGCTGAATTTTCAGCATCCATTCCTCAAGTCTTCAGTGTCACATGATCCTTCAGAAATCATTCTATGCTGATTTTGGTGCTCAAGAAACATTTCTTATTTTTATCAATGTTGAAAACAGTTGTGCAGCTTAATATTTTTGTGGAAACTGTGATGCATTTTTTCAGGATTCTTTGATGAATAGAAAGTCAAAAGAATAGTATTTATTTGAAATAGAAATATTCTGTAACATAAATATCTTTACTGTCACTTTTGATCAGTTTTATGTGTCCTTGCTAAATAAAAGTTGGTGGTTTTTTTTGAAAAAAATCATACTGACCCCAAACTTTCGATGTCACTGACACTAATTTAGGCTTATCAAAAACTAAATAACTGAGGTAATAAACAACTAAAACGGATCATTTGATGATATAGATGTGGCATACATATGGTTGGCTGATAAACCCAAAAGCTCAGGCAGGTTCCTTTGGTTGGTGCCAGGTGAGGGCTCAGCAGCCAGGCATTCCGAGTAGCGGTGTCCCGTTGGGAGTTAGGAAGGACCAGGAAGTGTCCTGGAGTTATAAAGGAGACTAAATTACATCCACTTCCTCAAAATAAATGAAGCTGTGACAATGAGTATTCACATTCTCTACTTAGCAACAAACACTTTTTAGTATGAGCGTAAAGCGCATAAATCACCTTCTTCTGTGTACAGTGTGTGGTCATATGCTGGTGTGCTGTAGAACATCTCAGCTTGCGCACTGGTCAGGTCCCAGTCTAACCAGTCTACAGATGCCTTCTGAGTGTTGGACCAACCACAGAAACCTTTCTCGAAATCACAGACACTATCTGAAATGCACACGCACACAAATAACCAAACAACAACAACAACAAAAAAACTAACTTAAATCTAAGCTATTTTATAGATCTTGTAATAATAAACAACAACATATAAAAAATTATATTAATTATAATGAACAATAATATATATTTATTCAATTACATGCATTTATTTATTAATAATATAAAAAACACTGTTGTTCAAAAGTTTGGGGCCAGTGAGATATATTTTTTAAAGAAATTAACATTTTATTCAGCAAGAATACAGTAAATTGATCAAAAGTGACCTTAAAGACAAAAAATTCTATTTTAAATAAATGCTGTTCTTTTAGAACTTTTTATTCATCAAATAATCCAACCTTAAATTCTAATAATCTATCTAATCTTAAATTAGAAAAAAGTTATTTTAAATTGTAATACTATTTCACAACACTACAGTTTCTACTGTATTTTTGATTAAATAAATGCTGCTTTGGTGAGCAAAATAGACTTTACAGCCCCCAAACTTTGAACTGTAGAATATATATTGTCAATATTTTATGCAATATATATATATGACAAGTTATAGATGAAAAGTAGGTGGAGAAGGGGCTTGTGAAAGCAAATGGGGTTAATTTTGATTTCATGTTGACTTTAACTCGGGTTTTAATTCAAACCTGGTGTGGGGCAGCTGTGGGTCGAGTAGGTGATGTCATCAATGGCAATGAAACTCAATAAGCCTCCTTCACCCTTCACCTCAAACTGCAGCTGAATCACAAAGATGCATCAAATCTTTACACACATCCAGACTCACACCCAGACCATTTATTAAGCATAACAAGCTAACAAAACAGGTGTAATTGCAATACCTTGGCAGGTCATTTACATTGCTAAACGGGTTAAGGCAGCAGATCACTTACCTGCCAGTCCCCATGCCAGCTGATGTTCCCTTGGCCATGACGCCAGGCATGTCCCTGCCCGACACTGCTGGAGAATATCTGTATCATGTCTCCATCAGATGGCTTCACATAGACATTCAGCGTGCCTGTGTGTGTGGGGATACATATGGTATTTACCTGAAAATCAATAGGTGTGTACACACAACACAAATATGCGATCATGTTCTCTTACCTGGCTTTTCTCCTCCTGTATGGTACCAGAATTGTACACATTCGGTGTGAGTCAAACCTCTGCGCACAGGTGAGGTCAAGGTGGTCACACTGCCCTGGGGAAGGACATCCACACCGCTGTGGGCCAGCATGTAGAACCCTAGTCACAACATACTATATATCATTCCTTTAAAATAATCCAGCTAAAATAAAATAGAAAACATAGCTAGTAGTCTATATCTTAAACAAGGTTAAGCAATATTGTGAGCAGGATCACAAACACTGCCGCTGCAACAGTTTAGCGAATTAGCTCAAGACTTCTCACCAATTTTATTTCATTTTCAAATTTCCCTTACCCTTTTTTGTTTCCAGGCTGTGGTCGGTCTCGGGTCCAGTTTTGTGTAATGCCCAGCTCTGGTGTATCCACCTGGCTTTTTCTGAACTGGTATAGCCACAAGTCTGACTCTCAAACGAGCACATAGTGGGCAAAGAACATGGTCCCGTCACAAACGCCACATCATCTAACGCCAACTGACCATCAAAACCAGAGCGAGTCGCCTCAAACACCAGCTACATAAGCGAGAAGAATGAATGACAAGAAAATTAAATGAAGATTAAAGGAATTCGTAGAGAAATGTAATACTGAAAATGTTAAACATCCCTTTTCACAGTCATAAAACAGTTAAATGAACCAGTTTATTCGATAAAAATCTTCTAAGCCAATATATGTGGCCATTTACAGAGTCATTATGTGTTTTGCTGGGGATTTTGCTGACAATTATGCGTTAGGTGTGTAAACAACTTTTGTGTGCACCTGGAAAGCAGAGAGCTGAGGAGGCACAGGGCAATGGCCCTCATGCCAGACGTTACCATGGGCACCGCTGCGCATCCACAACAGCTCTTCTGAGCCATCAGCAAATAGCTGCTTTACACTGAGAGTGCCTTGGAAAGAGAAGATGAATGATGAAACAAATGAATTATAATGAGGTATAAAGTTTGAGTCCGTGTCTCAGCACAAGCTGTAGGACCTTCTGGTCACACAATGGCTGAGAAAATCATATTTTATGAAGCTGGGAATAAGGTGTTCAGATCCACCTGTGTTTGGCCCGTAGAGTTTGTAGTAGAAGGACAGACAGTGCTCTGTGTTACTATACTGTCTGATTGAGAGGAGACGTCCAGAAAGACCTCGCAATGAAGTGTCCCACATATCCACCACCAGACTCCTACCTGAGAAAGAGAGAGATAAGTGAAGAAAGATGTTTGTATGATGATGATAAAATAATATTCAAATATAATTCACTCAAAATTAAGCAACATTAAAAGTCTCCTGACCAACATGGATAGTGTGGTCCATTCCAGTATGAAGCTTCCAGTCATAATTATCTGTTTGGTCCTGGTACCACCCGCACAAATTTACCTCAAAATTACATGATACATCTGTTATAGGGAAAACAATAATGATGCAAAAAAATAACCAAATCATTTAGAGACAATGAAAATGAACCATGCAAAATAATGTTGATTATTTGTATCCACTCACCACCAGAGGGGATATACAGAGGAGAACAGTAAACAAAGTACACATCCTTCACTGCAATCTGGTTACTTGGGGAGAGCTCTTCAGAACGGGCCATGAACTCGAACTGAGAAAGATAATAGATAGATAGACGGACAAATAGACAAAAACAGAGAGGTCGATGATAAGATATATGACAGAAGACAGATAGATATATACAGACAGACAGACAGACAGATAGACAGATAGACAGATATAGATAGATAGATAAATATATATATACAGATAAATAGATAGATACAGACAGATAGATAGATGCAGACATATACACTCACCTAAAGGATTATTAGGAACACCATACTAATACTGTGTTTGACCCCTTTTCGCCTTCAGAACTGCCTTAATTCTACGTGGCATTGATTCAACAAGGTGCTGAAAGCATTCTTTAGAAATGTTGGCCCATATTGATAGGATAGCATCTTGCAGTTGATGGAGATTTGTGGGATGCACATCCAGGGCACGAAGCTCCCGTTCCACCACATCCCAAAGATGCTCTATTGGGTTTAGTCCATTTTAGTACAGTGAACTCATTGTCATGTTCAAGAAACCAATTTAAATGATTCGAGCTTTGTGACATGGTGCATTATCCTGCTGGAAGTAGCCATCAGAGGATGGGTACATGGTGGCCATAAAGGGATGGACATGGTCAGAAACAATGCTCAGGTAGGCCGTGGCATTTAAACGATGCCCAATTGGCAATAAGGGGCCTAAAGTGTGCCAAGAAAACATCCCCCACACCATTACACCCCCACCACCAGCCTGCACAGTGGTAACAAGGCATGATGGATCCATGTTCTCATTCTGTTTACGCCAAATTCTGACTCTACCATCTGAATGTCTCAACAGAAATCGAGACTCATCAGACCAGGCAACATTTTTCCAGTCTTCAACTGTCCAATTTTGGTGAGCTTTTGCAAATTGTAGCCTCTTTTTCCTATTTGTAGTGGAGATGAGTGGTACCCGGTGGGGTCTTCTGCTGTTGTAGCCCATCCGCCTCAAGGTTGTGTGTGTTGTGGCTTCACAAATGCTTTGCTGCATACCTCGGTTGTAACGAGTGGTTATTTCAGTCAAAGTTGCTCTTCTATCAGCTTGAATCAGTCGGCCCATTCTTCTCTGACCTCTAGCATCAACAAGGCATTTTCGCCCACAGGACTACTGCATAATGGATGTTTTTCTCTTTTCACACCATTCTTTGTAAACCCTAGAAATGGTTGTGCGTGAAAATACCAGTAACTGAGCAGATTGTGAAATACTCAGACCGGCCCGTCTGGCACCAACAACCATGCCACGCTCAAAATTGCTTAAATCACCTTTCTTTCCAATTCTGACATTCAGTTTGGATTTTAGGAGATTGTCTTGACCAGGACCACACCCCTAAATACATTGAAGCAACTGCCATGTGATTGGTTGATTAGATAATTGCATTAATGAGAAATTGAACAGGTGTTCCTAATAATCCTTTAGGTGAGTGTATATATATATACATATCCAGATAGATAGATACAGACAGATATATAGATGATATAGACAGATAGATAGTCAACCTGAAAGCGATTATCTCTTGCTCCAACATACACTTCCTCCTTTAGCCAAGTCTCTGCCGTCTCATTGGTCCTTCCAGTAAACTCCCACAGCACAGGATGAGTCCCAAACACACTGTCTACAACATACACTGCCAGTTTACCTGCAGAGAGAGGAAGAGAGTCTATAGTCTAACATCACGCTAACTAACAGGGGAGAGACAGGTGTATTACAGCTGATGTTGTACCTATGTGTGGGTTACTGCCACTGAGACTGTAGGAGAACTGAAGGGTGCACCCTGGACCTGACGGACCCAGGAGAGGGGTACGAGTTTGAGCTTCACTTAACTGCTGCCCAGGAGCACCAGTCACAAACAGGAACTCTTCTAATGACACACACACATACACAAATTACATTAAATTATCTAGCATTTTCTTAATTCCATCATGCTAAAAACAGATTTTTTGTTTGTTTGTTTTTACCTTGAATGAAGGTGTCATTATACTCTTCTAGCTCCCAGGCCTGGCTCCCTATACTAGTATCTGTCCAGCCAGAGCTTCCCATCTCATATGAGAAGTCCCCTATGTACACAACATTAACATAGACCCTCAATGTGTGATTAAGATGTATATGTATACACTTGTATACACCAAAACAATCATGCAAATACACTTAAAGGGTCACTCCACCCATTTCAACATTAATCTTTATTGAAAGTGGGTTATATATGTAGTCGAAATGTAAAAGAAATTTTAAATTTGGTGCCCTCTTGACCGAGAAAAGACAGAAAATAACTTTGGGGCGCATTTGTATGTAAGACAACAACTCCCACAATGCACCATGTTGCACAGCTCCGCAAGCCACTCCCACTAATCCAGAACAGCGCAAACATCAGAGAAATCGCTCTTCCGTCTACAAGAAGGCTAGCTGCCAAATGAGTTTAAAATTCATTTCACAAAAAATGTCTAGTTAGTTGTGGCGAGCAGGACGAGGGCGAGGGACGTGAGAGGACGACGCGAGTGATAATGAATGGCACCTGTGCAGCGGTCTCATATCTCTCACGGAGGAGCGGAAGCACAAAAGGAACAGGCCTGATTTTATGTTTTGTTTCTGTTGTGTGTGGCCAGCTGGCTTATACTTTTGTTTTGTATTTGTTTATTTTACTATTAAAACGTTTAAATGTTCGCCGGTTCCAGCCTCCTTCTTCCCACAACAACGAACCCCGTTACATTGGCAAACTCATTAGTGAATTACTCGTTTGTATTTCTTTCTATATGGTGAATTATTGCATGATACCTGCATGTTCAGTCAGGCGAAACTAGGATGGTTCACATCACAACACAAACGTCCGTGTGGTCGTCTGATTCAGAGATTTCGTCCAGGAGAAACTGCCTTGTTGAAATTCTCTGCAGCAGACGGACTCTATCTGTGTCCGTAGCGCACAGCGAGAGCACACGCACCAGCAGTCCGCCCAGCTCAAGCCAGCCCGGGCTCCTCGTCCGCGACAGGCAGCCGCCTCCTGTTCCACCATCAGCCTCAGCTGCTCTTCACTATATTGCGGCTCGTAAAGATAGCCACGAACAGCGGATTCGAGCAGCAGAATTTCAAAATCCTCTTCTTCCATATCATGTTTAGTTTCTTCCGTCATTGTCGTAACTTCCTATATCCACAGCGCTTGTTAGCTTAGCTTATAAACAAGATGGCTGATATTGCTTTCAGTATCTGCAAGTGAAGTCCCACCCACTGATCTGTGATAGCTCTGTTAGCGCATTAGGTCCAACCCCCTATGGGCGGGTTTGAAAGGGTGGGAATTTGTGCTTGTAGTCTATACAGAAATCCCCCCTTTTTACACTTCCTCCTACAATGACGTCAAATGACGATTTTTGCGTCATTGTAGGAGGAAGTGAAAAAGGTAAATAGTAGATTTCTCTCGTCTCAGGGGAAAATGAAAGAATGTTGCACGACCATTCAATAGTATGACTGGTTGTCTAACAATGGACCTCTTAATGCAAATGGGTGGAGTGTCCCTTTAACATGCACACATATTTGTATAGGTGGTACTCACCACACTGAGCTTCATCTTCTCCAGCAGGACAGTCCTCTTTAAAGTCACAGATTTTCAGACTGTCCTCTATGCAAGGTTTAGCGGGAGGCTTTGGAAATACTGGATCGGGCATTGATTCTGTATAAAAGGCAATGAAACAGAAAGACGTTTTATAAATTTACAGACAAATGTGTAGGCAAACGCAGAGTTGTGGTGTATAATCGACGTAGACGGGCATAAAATCAGAGAGTACCATTGGATAAGATGCACTCAGGGGACAACACAATATCATCAATAGCGATCCCTCCATAAGCATGGTCTCGAATGGCAGCAACAAATAGTATCTGATTGGGGAAAGTTCAATACATTAGACAGCATTTATGACTGCTGTGTGATAAAAAAGCGGGAAACTTCTGAGAGTGATGATGTCAGAGGAGAGGAGCAATGACTTCAAGTACCTGGAACGTGCTATTGACGACAAACTCCACCTCAGCCTTTACCCACAAGTCCCCAAGAGCACCTCCACGTTCCCACACAGGATAAATCTCCGTCCCGGCCACCAACACAGACAGTCCGCCCGACACTCGGCCAAACTGATGTGTGTACATTATCATCTGTAATTATGGACAATGGGTGTAAAGTGTAAGCCCATAGACACCGAGACGTCCCCTAATCCTGCGTATGTGGTTACAATCCTGATAAAAACGAGTGTATTAAGTTGAAGTTGTGCCTTTATTGTCATGCTACTGCACCATTTAATAAGCATTTGGTACTATACTGTACATACCCGGCAAGGATGTGTGTCATTGGTTGGTGCCAGGGGAGGGCTTTGAAAAGACGTCCAATCATCCTTCAGGATTTCCGGCTTGGTTACATATAAGAAATGTCCTGAAGAGTAATTATTTATTGACTTATTTTGAGACTTCAATGCACATGTCAGTGTTACCTTTAACAAAAAACAGCAATAAACACAACTAGGAAAAACTAACTAAAATACATTTTAAAATACATTTTCATGACTCTAAAACTATAAAAAATAAAATAAAAATGGTTACACATTAAGTAAAGTTCTTGATACACTACTGTTCAAAAGTTTGGGGTTGGTAAGATTTTTTTATGTTTTTGAAAGAACTCTATTATGCTCCAAGGCTGCATTTATTTAATCAAAAATATTGTAAAAAATATTATTACCATTTAAAATGTATTCCTGTGACAGCAAAGCTGAATTTTCAGCATCATTTGATCCTTCAGAAATCATTCTAATATGCTGATTTGTTGCTCAAGAAACATTTATTATTATTTTCAATTTTGAAACCAGTTGTGCTGCTTAATATTTTGTGTAAACTGTGATACAGAAATATATTTGACTAGTATAAAGTTCAAAGGAGAAGCATTTATTGGAAACAGAAATCTTTTTGTAACATTATAATTGTCTTTACTGTCACATATGATCAATTTAATTTAACCTTGCTAAATAAAAGAATTAATTTATTTTCAACGGTAGTGTACATGGTTTATTATTAAACCATTCTAACCCACCTGAATTAAACATAGAAATGCGACTAGACGATATAGAAAAAACGAAGATAAATAAATAATAATAAATGGAAATTTTGAAACTATAATAACCCTGCTTACGACTGGCCCGCACATACCCGTCATCGTGTTAGTTGAGTGGTCTCTACCAGGTCCTTTTCGAGGCTCAGAAAGTGATATATTCATCTGATTTGTCCTTGTCCATTTCAAGGATGATATAGTCCTTATGTCCCATCCACAAAGATCATCCTCAAAGTCACAGCTCATGTTCTGCTCTGTACATAATAAGTACACACCAATATAACAAACATTATCAGTGATTATGACTCCAGACCAGCAGTAGGCGATCTAACTCAAGAATCAAATGCACTGAAGGCTAAATGAATGAACATATCTCCTCATCAATAGATCACTGATTTCTCTCACTAGATTCATGGTCCTCGGCACAGTTCTCTTCATCCGTTCCATCACCACAGTCATCCGTGCCGTCACACACTTTATAGTCCTCCACACATCCCTCCCGCTTGCACGTCACAAAACCAGGAATGCATGTTCCACTTTCAGGGGGAACTGAAAGAGAGAGGGAGAATCCAAACATCCTTATCACTGATGGTGTTATCCATCAAAAGCACGGATGCCCAATTGTTGACTTTTAAGGCAAGCAGATTTTAAATGCGATTAAAAATAAAATAAAAAATATATTTCTCTTATGCTCACCCAGGCTGCATTTATTTGATCAAAAAATGTATATAGTAATATAAACAGTAATATGAATAAAAAACATTTTTGTGGAATCCGTGAAAATCTTTTTTTGGGATTCTCCGATTTATTTTTAGATTTAAGAACAGCGTTTATTTGAAATAAAAATCTTTTGTGACATTTTAAATGTCTTTACTGTCGCTTTTGATCAATTTAATGTATCCTTGCTGAGTAAAAGTATTAATTTCTTAAAATTATAACTAAACAGTACTGTAGATTTTCCTTTATACCTTCTAGAAATTTTAATAAAAATATAATAATTTGGGGAAAATAAATTGTCACTTTGAAACTGCATTTTATGCATCAGACAAATTAAATCCATCTTTCCTAAATTTTAAAATGGAAATACTTAGGAATATGGATTTCAACTCCACGTCATGCCTAAAAATGCTCCTTAGCTGTTCTAAATTCAGTGTAAACTAAGGCTTCTTGGGCCTTATTGCTTTAATAAAATACATTTAAATGTATGTGTAAATGTAGAAAATATTATGTGAATGACCTTTTTCTATTTGTTCTTACCTGGCAGGGCACAATCTAGAAATTCCATGTGATCGACGGACACATCTCCCTGTTTCCCTTTACTGCGTCTGGAATGAAGCTGGATGTGGAAAGGGCCTGGGATACGGCCCAGGTAAATGGTGGCCTCCCTCCAGCCTCGGATGCTGGAGCTCTCTGGCCTCCAAACCACAGCTTCCTCGCCATCAGTTTGCAACACTGACCCCCACAGAGGGGTGTCACCCAGCCCAGTGTAACCTAAAACACACACATACACACGCACAAACTGAATTCACAAGTGTTGAAGCAACACCTATAGGGTTAGATGTGTCCGTTTCCTCTGAGTAATCTTCACTTAATACTACTCTACAGGTTAATTAGTCCATATTTGATGCAGTTTTGAATGTGCTAGTATGTGTGTGAACCTGAGTCCCAGATGAAGTATCTGAGCCGAAGGCGACAAGTAGGAGAGGAATGTTTTATTATAGGGGACACAAGCACAGCAGTTTTCGGGGCATCTGAAGTCACAGCTGTCACTGCCATAAACCAGCCTGAGAAACAGAAATATTGATATTGAAGAGAAACCTTGATATCACTTTACAATAATATTCAATTTGTTAACATTAGTTAATGTATCAGGTATCATGATGTAACAATGAATACAACTTTTACAGCATTTAATAATCTATTGGCCGGTTTCATAGACTGCAACTTGCACTGACAATATGTCAATGCCATTGTTTTGTCTCAAGATGCACACCAGTAATGTTTTTTTCTAAGGCATGTTTATAAAAGCTACTTAAATGTCCTAATTGCACTAAAGCCTAATCCTGGCTTAATCTAAGCCCTGTCTGTGAAACCAGGCTTTTGCTAATATTTTTTTCTTTCTGCACAATAATACATTAAACATGTCAATTTGTATAAATTAGTATCAATTTTGTATAAAATTAGTAAATGTATTATGAATGAGTATAAATTAATAATGAATAATATTATATTTAGAAATGAACATGCTTTATAAATAAACACTGTAAAAAATGTTAATTATTAGTTCACAATACCTGATGCTTACGGTAGTTAACTAAAATAGTTTCTGTAACATTTTTAAACAAAACCATTTAAACATCATTTGTAATTCTTGTATAATAATTAAACACAGCAATTGACTAAATTAGAAAAATAAAATACATGCAAAAAATCATGACCAATTACATCACTTAAAAATTACACTACCATTGGTTGGTAAGATTTTAAATATTTTTTGAAAGTAGTCTCTTATGCTCTCACCAAGGCTGCATTTATTTGATCAAAAATACAGTAAAAATCACTAGTATATATTTTGATATATTTAAACATTTAATTTATTCCAGTGATGATGAAGCTGAATTTTCAGCATCATTACTCCAGTCTTCAGTGTCACATGATCCTTCAGAAATCATTCAATCATATGCTGATTTGCTGCTCAAGAAACATTTATTTTTATTATCAATGTTAAAAACAGTGATGATTAAATGTTTGTGGAAACCATGATACATTTTTCAGGAATTCAGGAATCCCTGATTAATAGCTATGAAAACCTTTTCACAATATTCTAATTTTGAATTTGGGGTTTTCATAAGCTGTAAGCCATAATCATTAAAATTATAACAAATAAAGGCTTGAAATATCTCACTTTCCATGTAATGAGTTTATATAATATATTAGATTAACCTTTTAAGTTGAATTACTGAAATAAACTTTTGCACGATACTCAAATTTTTCGAGTTTCACCTTTATATGTGTATGTGTATATGAAAAAAAAAACAAAAAAAAAACAGTAGGTCTAGTACATTTATCACTGGATTTGGAACCAACAGAAGGGTTTCTAAAACCAACGGAAGGGTAAGCTGAATTGTCATGTACCTGTGGAAGTGCCAGTGGTGTAGTCGGAGGACGGCCCACTGTCAGGGAGAGTGTTTCCTCTCTGCTGTCTCTGCCACATGTACACACCTTCTTCTGACTTCTCAGTCCATCCACACTTCCCCTCGTGCTCAAAATCACACACAAACTCTCGTCCTCGATAACCTGGTATTCAACCAGTAAGAACATGAATTTCAAGAAACAAATGACATGTATAAATACATTAACTGGATTCCAGAAGGTATGAATATACAGAAGTTCAGTATCTTACCACAGTCTTGCTCATCACTACAGTCTTTACAGTCACAAACAAAATCACATCTGTCTTCTGGGGAGCCGCTGCAGTCTTCCCGATCCAGTGCGGCAGCTGCCGAATATGAGTAATGATGAAGACACATAATTGGCCTTTCGCAGTTGTGTTTATAGAATCCAAAACATAGACATCACAGTGCTATTACTGTACGATTAGAGACATTATGAAAGCTTTTAGCAATTATACATGATCCTTCAGAAATCATTTTAATATACTGATTTGCTGCTCAACAAACATGTATTACTATTATTTGTATTATTATCAATTAACTGTTGTGCTGCTTAATATGTTTGTAGGAAACCATGATACAGTTTTTCAGGATTCTGTGAACAAGAGAAAACAAAAGTATTTATCTTAATGCCCCTACTAAATGTCTATTTAGTAATCACACACAGTACGCAGTCAAAGGTCTCTGATACACAAGTGTCAGATACGAGGCTGCATTCCTGTATACAAGGACAACATTTCTTATACAATGTAGAAAAGCAATGAGGTAAGATGCCAGACATTGTATTCTGTACATTTTTAAGTACAATCAACTTGGATGTTTAAGTAATTTCAACTTAAATGACATTAAACTAACTTAAACCATGAGTTAAATCTTGTACAACTTATTAAAAAAAAGTTTAAAGTTGCTGAACTTATTTTGATGAGTTAAAGCAATGTAAAAACATAAGTCGTCATAACTTACTGTTCATATAATTTTTGACAGCAAGCATCTAGTCATGCTTCTGCAGCTATGACGAGTTTAGAAGAAAACACTTAATTACATTTATTTACAGTAATAAAGGTTTAATATTGATTTGATTTAACTTAACGGAGCATATTTATAGAAATATGAATAATACCATTAGAAAATTGAACATCAAAATGTACAATCGAAAGCACTAAAAATAAAAATAAATTGAAACAACGTTCAATAGTACACATATGTACCAAAATGGCATTCAATGCTCGAAGCAATCAACCAAAAAAAAAACATTTACAACAATGAAAGGAACAAAAACAGCAGATCTCACCCCTCTGACAGACTTTCAGCATGAGACACACGAGGAGAATCCAGTGACATGTAGCCATCTTTGCTTTAGACACCAGTCAGAACAAGAGCTGTTCTTCAGCATACAGTGAACAAAAGCACTGCGCTGCTGCCACATATGAAGTTCTGAACTTCACCTGTGTCCCTCCCTCCTGATCCCACATAGAGATAATACCTGGACTTTACATTTTAACCCTCAGACGAGTGCCAGATCCTTCCTTTAAAGCTGCTCAGCTCTTCTGAAAATATGTAGCACACCACAGACAGTCAGTTTATTTTGGCCTCAACACCAGATACTTTACCTAACAATGTTACTATTTAGCCAAAATGATCTGCACATTCTGGTCTTACTAACAGTAGCAAATTGTAAACCATTTCTAGGGTTCGGCCTGTAAGTAAACCGTGAGAGATAAGCAAAGAAACAAGAAATACAATTAATGCAATAAAAGAGGCAGCAGATTCAGTACTAGAGGCAAAAATAAATGAATTTATAAAATGGTGTTGTTCAATCAATTTCTGTTCATTTGCACTACACAATTTAAATGGAACTCATACAAGAAGATTTTGATTCATAATCATCAGGATTGAAATTAATAAAAAAAGAAAGTGCAGACTTGATACTGTTTTTTTATGTTGTAAATTCAGAATGTTAACATTCTCAGGATGTCATTATGCCATAATATTTTCTAGTCAAGAAAGTCATTGCATATCCTATTGGCGTCTTCTAATAAAAATGCTGACAAAACGGATGTGAAGTGGATCATCAAGTTTATCAGGCAAGGTTTACAACCTCTGGATCAGGTTTGCTTTAGAAATCTTTAAGATTCATTTTATATGTTGTAGTTAAGCACAGTAATTTCCCATACTAAGACTTTTGCCTTACTTTGATATAGCAGGTTGTATCCCAACACTTTTCCAACTTAAATACATGACAAAATTTCTAAGAGCACTTTATTATCATTTCAGGATGTCACTGTTGCACTATATACATTTTTATGGTTTGGATGAAGTACTTAACCTTTCCCTCTAACCTGTTCTGTGCTTTATTTCATCATTTCCTGTATTTGCCAACATAAAGACCAATGGCCATAAACATAAGTGCATTCTTCTCTCTTTGTTGCCATGTGTTAATCTACACATGAAGTTAAAAACCAATCAAAAATAACGGAGTAAGCGTTTTATCCACACACCCATCCATATCAGAAACATTTTAGAGAGTTCTGTTCTTTCTCAGCCTTGGCACATCAGTAGTCCTAGAATATTGAGTCCTCCTACTGAGCTGTCATAGATCCCATGTAACCCACTCAATACCCTTCATCTGCCCAGGTCACCTCATAGTCTGGGTAATGGGTTTTTATCTTCTCTGTGGAAACAGAATGGTTTGCTTTCCCAAATCCCTGGAACAAAAAAAAAAAAAGAAAAAAAAAAAGAGGAAGAACTGATTATTGGATCATTTCCTTCAAGGCATACAACATTAAACAAAGGAATATCATGCATACCATGGAATAACCGTAGACGTGGATCTTCTTTGCGTCTTTTTCATGTTTGATTCTTCCACCTCCGAGACACTCACAATCCAATCCTCCACTTTTCTCCAGTTCTCCAGCCACACGGTCATAGATATCAGCTTTTAAGGAGATACAACCTTATGAATGTTTTGTAGCAAGACACAAATAAACGTTTGACCTCCAATCAAATGTGCAGTGGATAGTTTCTAAACACTGTAACATGTCTAAAATGATGAAAGTGCTTCATTGTATATGTACATGTGTGTGTATTTTTTAAAATAAAGAGGAAAAATAGTTAAATACATGTAAGACAGAAAAGGCCAAATCACAACGTTTGTATGCAAATAGACGTATAAAACCAATCAAAAGTCAAAATTATGAACATTCAATCTGGTGGGGATTTTGATTAATTCAAGTGACGCGAATCTTTTTAAACAGTTCACTAAAAAGATTCGTTGATTGGCCATTTCTGCAGGTGAACAAGAACGATTCGTGAGCTAAGATTAGTTCAAAACACTGACTCGTTTAAGAAACACCGCTATTCTATTCTACAACAGCAGCAATGTAAGTTAATAGCATATTATTTCACTCAAACTTTAATTTCTTTTTTTTTTTAAAGAGGCATAAAATTTATCAATACAAAGCGATTCGATATTTCCCCTAAACACAGAGCCAAATTAATTGTCATTTGTCAGCTATTGTTCAACTACTACAGAATTAATATTTTCAAATGTATTTTCTGACATATCCAAAACCTATTGCACGTTTTGTTAATAAATGTGCATACTCTTCCTCCTGTCATTCATTCAAACATATGAATGTATCCCTACCATGATACTCGGCCCATGCGTATCCTCTCACAATATCAACATATGAATCATCATCTTTGCTGTGAACCCGTATGAGGACGTATTTGAAGACGCCATTGGGATCTAAATCAGCCTCTGGGATTTTAGCAAGACGTTCGGCGGACATTATTGCAAAAGCGGTACTAAAAAATCCTAACACACGACAGCTAAATTTAGAACTACAGCAACAGAAAAGCGCATATTTTACCACTGCTGTGTTTTTGGCGAACTTGAATGAACGTATTCATATTAGCGACACCTACCGGGTTGGAGCAAAATTACGGTATTGAAACACAACACAGAAGGCTTCCCTGCCTCTGAAGTTACGTTTGGTGTTTTTATGCACAAAACTAAGTAGAATCTTTGTGTAATATTTTGATTATAGTTAAGTTTTATTTACACATATGTAAATTTACTCTGACTTTTGCAGCATTTCAAAATTATTTCAATCCTTAAAGCAACTTAGGAAAAGGAGTGCTTTAAACTATAAATCATTATAGTATAATCACTATATTGATTAAACCCCTTAAATTTAATTTAATTTGTTATAATTTGCTTTTATTCATTTTGGTATTCATTATTTGTTAGCAATTTTTTTTATACATTTATTATTTATTGTTGTCTTTCAATGTATGCTGTTTGTATTTATTTTGGATGTTCTTAATAACAATGATAATGCCTGCTTTTTATGTAAAGAGATAAAGGTTTACAAAGGGGATTAAAAAAACTATAGTGATGAACAAAAAAGAAAAATCACCATCGAAAATTACATTACTGTCCCTTAAAACTGTGGTAACATAGTATTAGCCACCACTGCGTTAAAAAAAACTATAAACATGACACGAAAAACTAGCCTGTCAAATTAAAATGACAAAGATTTAAAATTATTTACCATATACTAAAGTTCCACAGTATTACTATCTTGATATGATTTTACTATGAAACTAAGGGGCTTCTTAGACTTTGTTTTTTTAAGTAGTAACAAATTTTTCTATGCTATTTTGGTTGTGATAAGTATGGTTACAATGAAAGAAATCTGCAAGGGTTAATGGTTTAATCTGCAAATTGTGAAACTTACATAATTAACCAAGCACTCTTTAAGTGTACTGCTGTTTTACAAAGAGATTCTGTATGTGCAATACTCACTAAAGCCCACAAAACATTCAACACAAGCTTATTTGTACAAATGTTTATTTCTTCAGACTGGGGAAAGCACTACCATAGTTGATGCACAAACATTTTTATACATAGAATAGATTTTGAAAAGCACAAAAAAGTGTGGCTACTCTAGAGAAAAGTGCACTCCAAGCACCTCTCTGGAGCTCTTCAGGAGCTCGGTGGCTGTGTCAAACTCCAGCGGTATCGTCTTCCTTTCAGCCTTGAGTTCTCGCTCCATTAGCTGCCATACAAAATGTGGAGGGCATAATGATTAGTTGAACAATTTTAAACTTACAACACAGGGCAAACATCACTATCAATATTCACAAATCATGTTCTAGTAGTTTATGGATACAATGTTGCTAATTACCTCAAAAGTAGAGAGCTCTAGCAGCACACTGATGTCATCCTCCTGTTCAGAAAGAGGCTCATTGATCATCATGGCGGCCTTGGACACATCTGGATGGTAATGCTTCTGTAATGTCTAAAAAAAGATTTGCCTTTTTTAATGGATATCTTTTTAGATATTCGAAGGTTAATTGAGTTTGTGGATGGTGAGCCTGTCAATGTCAATAAAAAAGGACAGCTCCAAACAAGTAGTAGCAATATGAATAGTGTTGGATTTGGTCTTACCTTGATCTCCCACAGGCTGCTCTCCAGAGCATGACACTGAGCCGGATCTTTCTCTTCCATCACATATGGGTCATCGCAAGGCTCTGATTAAAATCATTGACAAGAACAATTATTTATAATACAGAAAAAAGACAGTTGTTTCTGTATACCACCTTTTAAATTTTGTTTAAAATGAAGAGGATTGGTTAAATAAATAAATGAAAAAATAAAAATAAACAAAACAAAAATACATTTATATAATTTAAACAATTGAAAAAAAAAAAAATATATATATATACAAAATAAATAAAAATATGAATAAATAATAACAATCAATAAATACAATTCATATTTATTTATTTTTAATAAACAAATAATATATCTACACAAAATAGAAAAAATTAAAAATACACAAATTAACAAAATAATCTCTCTCTCTCTCTATAGTTCAAAAGTTTGGGGTCAGTGAGAAATTTTATTTTTATTTTTTGGAGGAAAGAAATCAATACTTTTATTTATCAAGGAATAATTAATTTGATCGAAAGTGACAGTAAAGACATTTATAATGTTACAAAAGTCTTTTGAACTTCCTATTCATCAAAGAATCCTAAAAAAAAAACTAAAAAAAAAAACTGTACAACTGACAGACCAACAACTGTTTCAACATTGATAATAATAATAAATGTTTCTTGAGCATCAAATCCTCATATTATACTGATTTGTGAAGGATCATTTGACACTGAAGACACTGACACTGGTGATGCTGAAAATTCAGCTTTGATCACAGGAATAAATTACACTTTACTATATATTCACACAGAAAACAGCTGATTTACACTGGAATAATATTTAATACTATAACTGATTTTTGTTGTATTTTTAATCAAATAAGCGCAGCCATGGTTAGCAGAAGAGAATTCTTTTAAAAGTATTTAAAATCGTACCGACCCCAAACTTTTGAACGGTAGTGTATATATATAGATAGAAATACATACAAAATATGTATATATTTTACACAAATAAATGTTTATAAAATACTTTTATAATTTAAATAAACAAATTCAATTGAAATATGTAAACAACATACAACAAAAATACAAATCTACATAAATATATACTAGGGCTGCATGATTTGGGGAAAATGTCATATTGCGATTATTGAGGTCAATATTGCGATAGCGATATAATAAACAAATGGTTTCATGAGTCAACTTGCTTGGTTCTAAAGCAAAATGCACACACAGATTAGTGATAATTCTGAAATGTGTATTTCTCAACTCAAACTAACAACAACAACTAAATGATTGATAACACCTATAATGATCAATACGCCATTGATGTCTGGATAAAAATTAATTTAATTTTAATTTAAGTGAACTTCAAACGATCCTCACATAAACCCATAATAAATGTCATATTTACCTGTGCTCTTCCTGTCTAACAGGTGCAGAAATTGAATAAAGTTATCAAACAGTCTGCGCTGCATAAATTATATGGACTAAAATCCTATTTAAAGCTACACAAGTTCTTTGGTCAAGAGCAGTGAGTGTTTTTCTCTGTTTCCTTTGTTCTTTGATTAACTTTACTGACAGAAAGCATTATTGGATGCTGGCCCTTTAAGAGTTGCTGACAGAGAAGCGGATCTCACACGCGCCTTATTCTCTCACAACTCTTTACGACCATCATAAGACTGCTTATGTTATGAAGACACTCGACAGATGATATTTTGGCATAATTGTGTCTGTTATTGTTCGTTCACTTTGGAAAGAGAACTGTATTCTGGCGCGCGGTCTGTGTATGCGCGTGATACTGGCGCGCGTCTTTGTCAGGACATTCACAGGCAGCGCGCTCTCTTTTGACTTGTCTCGCTGAATGGTTTAAAGCATTCGCATGAATAAGAGCGGGATCATGTAACACTAGCCAAAGGATGACAAAAAATAACAGATGCTGCGTTAACAGCCCTAATTTGTTTATTTCATATAAAATCGCAGTATTTTGCGTCATATAATCGCATAGGCTTGACATCGCGATTACGATTGCGATATGATTAATCGTGCAGCACTAATATATACAGTATAAAGTGAAATAAAGTAAATATATAGTAACTAATACAAAAAAAATAATTTAAAATGTATTTTATATATATATATATGTGTGTCTGTGTATGATTAATAAATAAATGTATACATTTTAAATAAATAAGTATGACGATATGATTAATCGTGCAGCACTAATATATACAGTATAAAGTGAAATAAAGTAAATATATAGTAACTAATACAAAAAAAATAATTTAAAATGTATTTTATATATATATATATGTGTGTCTGTGTATGATTAATAAATAAATGTATACATTTTAAATAAATAAGTATGAAATAAATGTGTTTATTTATAGCCAAATAGTAACTATGTTAAATAAATAAATATTTGAAATAAAAATACATTGGAAGATTCTATCAGTGAGATACCTTCTGCAGCACTGGGTTTGTGGATGAGAACTTTGCATGAGGGGTGCCGGCGAATGAGATTACAGATGAATGGCAGAAGTATGAGGAGAGCTGTAGGTGGCGCTGTGAGAGACAGACGAGCGAGACGCTTCACAAACGCTGCCACCAGGTAGACTGGCAGATGTCTGTCAGAGAGGTCAGAGCATACGGGTTACAACTGTATTTAAGATCAAAACATGACACTGATAAACTGCTTATATCGATCTTTAGTCAAAATAAAAGTATTAAGATTAAACTTACGTTGAAGACAGGAAAATGTTTGCCAGATGGAAAAAACGTGCTCTGTACTTGACATGAAAGATAGAGGGATCCAGCAGATTGTACAGCTTTTTATAAAAATCTGGGTAATCCCTACACAACAAAAACAGATATGGCTTTTTAAAAAAATATAAAGGTGTGGATATAGATCAATTTAACTGCCTTTTGAAATGGTTTAATACTTACAAATTATGTTCATGGATGAGGACAAACAAGCCGTTCAGAGCCAACAAACTGATCGCTCCACCTGAGTCAAAGACAAACACAGATAAATGTGACAAAAAGCAATTAATTACAATCAATTCAGAATATGCAAATATATTCAAAATAGTCACATAATTATTAACTTTTCAGCTACAAGTTATTGGGCCCGTTACACTAAACAACCATTGTGAACAAAAACAAACAAAACAATTAACACTAAAGGAAGGAATAAAAACATACTGACCATCCAAAATAAATCAAATGCAAGTTTTAATGAATGAAAATGGATGTAAATGCCATCACAGCACAAATAAAGTAAAGTAAAGCAAAGCATTGATCCCCTGGTGCACCCTGAACTCACCAATCTCATAGGCAGCGCTCAGAAAGTCAATCATCATTGTGGGATCACCCATCTGTGGCAGTATAGATTCATGAAGGATGACCAGGATCTTCTTGTACATGCTGCTAGGTAACTATAGGAAACCCACAACACAGTCAAAAAACCTCAGCAAAGGTCTTTATACACATGGAGTACGTAATGAGAATCTATAGAAATAGGGTTGTTTAACCTTGTACTTGAGAAACACCAACCACATTTGCTCAAAAGCTCGTTTATGCTCCTGTAGGAAAAATGAAGATATTTATAATGCCAGAATGAACTTTGGACAGAATAAATATACATGCAGAAATGTTTAATTACATAATATGAGTTTGTTTACCTTTAATCTGGCTGCTTTCCAATCCTCATGTTTTTCTTATGAAATCATAGAATATTATGAATATAAAATCATAGACACCATTTTTTTGTAGGTACAATACAGTGTACATTGGTGGTCAAAAGATTGGAATAATTAATCGTTTTAATGTTTTTGAAAGAAGTCTCTTATGCTCACCAAGGCTAAATTTATTTGATTAAAAAATACAGCAAAAACAGTTCATTTTTAAATAACCGTTTTCTATTTTAATATATTTTGATGTGTAATTTATTCCTGTGAAGACAAAGCTGAATTTTCAGCATCATTACTCCAGTCTTTAGTGTCACATGATCCTTCAGAAAATCATTCTAATATGCTGATTCGCTGCTCAATTATTATCAGTTATTATTGGCGATCAATTATTAATAATGGTTCTTATTATCAATGCTGAAAACAGTTCTCTGCTTAATACTTTTGTGGAAACTGATACATTTTTTCAGGATTCTTTGATGAATAGAAAGTTCAAATAAACAGCATTTATTTGATTTAGAATCTTTTGTAACATTATAAATATCTTGACTGACACTTGAATCAATGAATGTGTCCTTGCTGAATAAAAGTATTAATTATCAGAATCAGTACAACTGTTTTCAAAATTTATAATAAAAGGAAATGTTTCTTGATCACCAAATTAGCATATTAGAATGATTTCTGAAGGATCATGTGACAATGACATCACAGGAATAAATCTTATTTTTAAAATTAAGTTATTTTAAATTGTAATAATATTTCACAATATTCCTGTTTTAACTGTATTTCTCATCAAATAAATGCAGCCTCGGTGAGAATAAGAGACTTCTTACAAAAACTTAAATCTTAATTGTTCCAAACCTTTTCACCAGTGTAAACAAAACAAACTTACTCTCTTGTTTGACAAGGAAATTTGTCATTTCTGATGCTTGGCTGGGTATGTTGATGGTTGAGAGGAGTGTGAACACATTATTCTGATATACAGGAATCACATCCTAAAAAACAGATTAAATGATAAAATAAGCCTGTTTAACTGATGAACATGGAATATGGAAATAAATACGCAACCAGTATAGAAAAAAACTGGCTATGTAAACTAAACCACACTCACCCTTTTGTTTCTGCCCATAACTCTGGTTATGTTGTCTCGTACTGAACTCATGACGTAGTAGCGCACATCATCCTTCTCCATAAACTCTTGAAACCTGGAGATGAGCAGTGACATGTCCTCTTTCTCCGAGAGAAGATGCTTCACCAGGGCCTGTGAACATGAGAGCGAGACACTTTAGACCCATATGGAGTCAGTGAGAAACACACAGCAATATCAGTTGTTGTTATAAATTAAACTGACCAGTATTAGCTCCCTGGGAAAGTTGTAGTGTTCACACCAGTCCAAATTCTGGAGAGGGTGTTTGCCTTCCGCTGCAACAAACTTCATCAGGGCACAGAGGGACATCTCCTGAAAACATGAAAATAATGGAAATCAATATCACACTGTTACAGTGAGTTAGTTACAGTTAACTAAAACCATTAAAATGGTTTACGGTAAATTAAATTTAGCTTAAATAATATAAAAATGACATGAACAGAATACAGAAAGTTAAAGGTAAAGTACTAAAATAACTAAAACAAAAATAATGAAAGCTATATAGAAACAATAATAAAACAATAATTTACTAAAACAAACTAAACTTAAAATCAAAACAAAAATTTAAAGCTAATTTTAAATATTATTAAAAAATAAATAATACTAAAATAACACTAGAGTGTTAGTTATTGCATATCTCATAGACATTTGTATTACACATTTGTTTCGAATCCAACTTACTGTATATATACACATGAAAACTTGATTAAAAGACCAAGTTTATAAAAACTAAACCATCATGCACCTTGAATTAACTCACTCACCTTCACTTGGAAATCTTCATGGCCTATATTTTCCAGAAGTAGTTCCACACAACTGTTGTAACGGTGTCTCATAAATATATGGTACTTCTCTTCAGCACTGCGATCACCTGGAAAGAGACCCAACCACACACACACACACACACAAACGATTTCCTCTTGGCAAACTACATAGAAATACACTGGATAGTCAGATGTCCGTTCACTTTGCCCCTGTGAGGTAAATCACGAATAGTAACGTTAGTTTACCATGCATGAGGTCCTCTTCTTTAGGCAGCTCACCAACATGGAGATCTCCTTTGTCTAACAACTCACAGAAAATCTTACTGCAAGCATTAGTGGCGAAAATTATTTCCTTTTCCTTCTCGGACTGCAAGTAGGAGAAAAAAAAGCGATGTTTATTGATTAACACAATTAATGTATAGAGAACTGACCACAACATGTCGAATTCAAGAGACTCCACTATGAAATAATAATCACATAACGTTACCTGTAAATATTCAATGACGTCAAATATGTCGTTAGCATGTTTCCTGTTTTGAATTATACGATCGGTTTTAGTATTTATATCTTTCTTATATGAAACCTGGCTGCTTTCTTCTTTCACGTTGCTGTCCCTGGACGGCGCCATTATTGTTGCTCTATTAAGTGTTGTCGTGACTCGTGTTCCTGTCAAAGGGTGAGGTCGCCCCTAGTGGTCAGCTGGTGTCGCCATGAAAAATGAAGAAACTGATAGAACAGCGATTATTTACGAACGTTCAATTCCAAATAATTATAAATTCATTTGAACTTTTCACTCACTCAGTTTTACAAAATAAATAAATGTCTATTAAGGTGTTGTCGAAAGCAGTATGCAAGTCATATTTGTCACGTGACACCAAATACTTTTCACTGCGCCCATCAGGCTGGACATGGTTTGTGATTACAGATACAGAGTAAGGAATTTTATTTAATTGTCTGTTATTCAGTAGTCTGTCAAGGGCCAATTCTTGAATGCATTAAATTTAAAAGATGGCACGTTCTAGTTAACAAATATCTTCAGCAAAGGAAAAAAAGCCTTGATATTTGAATGCGACTCAATGGCAATATTATCTGCCTGCAGTCCCGGAGGCTGCATTTTCAGGACCCCACTCTAGGACCGCATTTCTAGGACCCTAGTTTTTTTGTGACAGCGCCACCTACCGAGTCGGAGAACCGCAGTCCCAGGAACGCATTTCCAGGACCCTAGTTTTGGAGGAACGAAAAAAGTGCCACCAAGGCAGTATCTCCACCCAGTTTTAACTACATTAGAGTTTTTTAAAAAGTTTTATTACACCCAAATACTACTTTCTTTATTGCAATTAAACCAGGTTCCTAGGAATGTTGAGAAATTGGGTCTAAGTAGCATACTATAATATAACTCAAGTAAAATAAACAAGGAATCATGTTATAGCCTTTTCAGTCACTCGATGGACCACATTTTCAAGTACAGAGGGAAGACAAGGATGACTCTGGGGGTAGATTGATTGTGTATTTTACAAAATAATATATAACACTTGAACTTGAACACACAAAATCTTTTATAAAATAATATATAACAACTGAAATTGAACACACAAAATATTTTACAAAATAATATGTAACAACTGAACTTGAACACACACAAAAACAAATTTGATCATGACGTGAACCACTTCAATGGATGGACAAACACATGGACAACATCATCACTGACTCCTAAGAGAGAGAAAGAGAAGTGAATTAAATAAGGAACATTTAGTTGAACATGTTCTACTCTCTAATTTTAAATTTCATATTTAAAAGATCTTAGTTACCACAGAGTAATGATAATGATAAAAAATAATGATATCAATCTTCATACCAATTACTGTTCATAATACAATTATTGCATACTGTTCAAAGATTTGGAAAAAAAAAATGATTTTGATGTTGTGGGAACAAAGGTTCTAGAAACACATGTCAATAAAGCCCATCTGAACTGAGAAAAAAATAATAGAGAGAGATGCAAGAAATCTGAATAGAAATAACATTATTGACACGACTTTTCCTGACCATATATAAGTAGGCCTATACAGTAAATGACACAATCTAACACGTGGGATTTTAACAGTCAATTATTATAATGGCCTCTCTGATATGTCTGACTATTAAAATGTCATATGTCTCAACCAACTTTATAAAACCATGTCAAAATGAAGAGACGTACACATAACATGTATTGTGGGTAACGTTAACAGGCTTACTGTGAGCACGTGACAGTGAAAACATTACGATTATTTTAACTGAATTAAAATGGAAAAACAATGAGTAATTAACAAGCTTTCAGAACGAACATGGTACAGTTTATTGTGCTGTAAGTAAGTCAACACAGGCTTAGCCTATCATGCAACAGCTCCGTTAAATGAACCGTAGTATTTCATTTTCCAGCATTAGAGGCTAGTATATGATGGCTATGCATTCAAGACTGTTTAGCAAATCACCAGCACGTTGGCAACGTTAACTTTCCAATGAAATGCATCACAATTGTTTTTAAAGTTAAACAAATAAAAATTGATTCGCATTTGATACTCACACTCTGAATGTCATCCATTTTCGCTGGTCCTCTAATTCGGTAACAGTGGTTACTCAACCAGAATAATACTTTTACCGCCGCCGCTCCCGCGGCGGTAAAATTCGGGTGTGTATTTGCTGCCTTTTACCGCTAAGAGGCGCTACACTCACAGACTTTGAAAAGTGTCAGTTTATTCTCTCTATTGCGTAATCTACCGCCGCACCGCGGCTCATTCAGATCGATTAAAAGCTGGTAACAGATTAATTCAAGTGAAACATTGTATAAACGAATTCATAATCACAATACTGAAATTAAATTGAATAAATAGTGAAAACATTTCAACATAAAACATTGAAACAGAAACATATTAGGCTACACCAAATGAGGGTTTAGCATAAGACGAAGTTTATCACCGTTCAGACGGTAGCTCAGTGGTTAACGCAACAACATAAACCTCACGGAGCTTCAAGCGATCCGAGATCGAATCTCACTATAGCCTAGATGGCCGACTTCGTTTATGTGTTACCGTTCTTGATGCTTACATAGGTAATTGTTTATTAGCGAGTTCATTAACTGTTTATTTATTTAAAGTCAACCGTTTTGTTTAATATTATTAATGGCACATTACAACATGAATTTGCTACATTCCAGTAGAGCCGCTGCACGACTAGCTGATGAGGGAAGATTAGCTGATCGCGTCAGAAAATGAAAATAATGAAGCTCGTCTTTAATCTGCCAAATTATTGTTTTGTGAATCATTCATGAAATTGAGATGACACTGATACCCGGCCATAGCAACGGAAGAAATTTTTCAAAACAGATCCATACATTGAACAAATCAGAAAAGACTGATTTTGTAATTGGCACAAAATGACAGACTAACTAAATAGCCTATTGCTTTCAATATAAAAACAAATGAAAATGTAAAACACTAAAATTAATTAAGTTTGAAACCCCATCGCACATTTCAAGGTTTAAATAAAGTGTCGGGACAGTTTATTCATTTAAACAGGGTTGCATTGATTTCAGAGTTTATTTCCTTTGCGATCCAAAATAAGAAACACAGAATCTTATTCTTGCAACATTTTAAATCTGTATTGCCAAAGAAATTGCAGCTAAATTAAACAATTAAAACAGTACTAAACGATAATAGTCCTAAACGACATAGGCTACATTAAGAACATGCGTTTTTCTTTGCCTCTCGCACTGGATCTCTTTTTGGCAAGTTAATTTTGTCTCCCTCCCTCCAAAAAAAAAAAAAAAAAACTGTAACAAATTATTTAGCCTTTGTTACTTCAAAGACACAGCATGCCTTGTTGAATTCACCTTACAATAAAACGAGGTTGATCGCGAATTATGAGCTCTGTATCTGCTGTGGCATGAACGCGTTTCGTCGACAGTTCATGTTTAGATAATGCCAGATTGTTGACAATCATGCATAGCCAGCCTACACACTGCTCAAACATTCTAAAACTCTACAAAACCAGAAGAAACAACTGGATTGAACACTTTAATATAAATTTTGTGTGAAAAAACTTTAAATACAAAAAAAATAAACTACAATAGGCCTATTTATAATTTAATAAGATATAGGGCCTTGGACACATCGAGAGATTTATCCTTAAAAGAGTTTAGCCTTTGCCTGCTCATCAGACTATCCGACATCTCCATATGAAAGAGGAACGTTAACACCTTTTGTCCTGCGCGCACGATAACTGCGACCACTGTCCCTCCAAACCCCCCACAGGCTCTGAGACTGACTTAGAGAAGTCGCAATTCACACTTAAACCGCTCTATAAAGTGTTGATAATGAAGGAATTAAATAATGTAAGCTACATGTAGTGATATTTCTGTCATGAAACTTTATTACTAAATATATCATTTCAATAATTCGTTCAATTTCAATAAGTTTTTCTTCTTCTTTTTTATTCAAATAAATCTCGAACCACAGTGCTTCGTGGTCCTGCTGTTAAACTAAATAACATTTATAGAATAATTATGAACTTACATGAAACAATATCGCAACATTTCGACAAAGAAATTATTTGATCTGTTTTTACATTTTAATTCAGGGCGATTTAGCCTACATTTAATTAGAGCGAGATTTTCCCCGTCTTGTCCTTTCCTCATTGGGAAGGGCTCACATCATAGCTAAACATGTTTAAGTAGATGCTCTAGTCTGTACCTCTCAGTTTCAGATGGAGTAGGCTACATAATCAGAAAACATTTATTAAATATTTAGACATTTAAATGCTTTAGACATAGCCTATAGCCGATTTCTTATCGTGACTGAGCTGAGGCATGGCTTTCGGTTCATTTTTGTGACGCGCAATTCCCGGAGACAGAGACGAGACGACAACTACATTTTTGTTGTTAGCCTAATATGAATACAACTTTACAGTTTTGAACGATTTAGTAGGCAAAAATACGGAGTAGCCTATTAACTTATTTTAGCTGTTATGAGAAAAATAAATCCAAGTGAAAGCGCCGACGCGTTTGTCGAACACTAATTCAACACGTCAGAAACCCGATTTTAGAACAATTTATAGCGACACTTGGTGTGGGTGTGCCAAAACACTTAATTATAAACTTCAATATTTCATTCAAAATAATCTCAAAACGCTTTGTGACATTTTGAAAAGACGTGGTGCATAAGGCCACTGGAACCACGAACGGACTGTAACTGAAACGCTGGTTTTGATTTTATTGTTTGTCGTTTAAACGTGCCTGTTGCATATCTTTATTTGATATATTTGTTATGGTCTATTGGTGAAGTAGCCTATAGCATTGATTACTGAGGAGGGAGGCGGTGTGGGGATTAAAATAATTCAGCAGAAGCATGTTTAGACCAGAAGGAAATCCCCGTCCCCCCTGGCAAACCTTGCTTAAAACCATGTTTTAAAACTCCATGTAGGGAATCCAAAATATATATAGGGCCTATAGTAGGCTATATATATATATATATATATATATATATATATGTTTTTTTTTTTTTTTACAGAACTGCTTTTGAAATGACGACTGGTATTATTATACAGATGTAAAGTCATTCTGGTGGATACTATTTGTTCCAGTGTAAAATGGAAATGCATGGAATTTTATTTTATA